TTCTTCCAGTATCTCTCATCTGTATTTGGCTAGAGCTGTCTTGTGTGCTTGAGGTTGTCTGTCAAAACAGCAGCCAGCTCTGTGTTCCTGTCTCTGGACTCCTGATTTCAGAATCAAACCTGCATTTCTCACTTGTCCAAAACTTTAAAGGCATTTTGTTAAATGTTTATATGTATTTTGCAGTATTTAGCCTTTAGCCTGTTAGATCCCTGTGCTCTACTAATTGTTCTGCAACAAGGTAACATTCTGAAGTAGAAGCACAGAGTGCCTAAGGTTAAGACTCTTTCCTGCTATTTAGGATTGTTAACACTTCTGCTCTGCTCTTTCCTGCCATATTTAGTATGATACCCCCTTTATTCCCAACCAAGCAAATCTGGTCTTTTCAGTGTAGTACACAGGCATACTGATGTACTGCAGCTGAGCCCTCAAACACCTTGAGAGCAGAAAGGTAAAAAGGTGACATTGCCTACCTTAGCTGAACTGAGTGCAGCTGTGGGTGTAATTGTGTGATGCTTTAGGCATAAAGACCAGTGTTATTACAGCTGTAATTCCACACATGGGCTGCCTTCTGACAGCAGTGACTGTGGAACAGGGGTACCCTACAGCACAGGAGTGTGCTTATGCTGGAAAAGAACAAAGCAGAATAGGAGGTACTGCCAGAACATCAACTAGTACATTCTGGCTCTACTGGCTGTCCAGACACACAGGTACTTCTTGCATGCTGCTGAAGCCTCAACAGAAAAATTGTGCAATATAAACACAGTTTACTCACTCCAGTATATAATTAGAATAACAAAGTAATTCAAGACATAATGATCCTGTGATCAAAGGTAGGATAATGAAAAGAACATCATCAAAAAAGAACACTGAATTACAGTTGTAGGGACAGGATGGGAATATAGTAACTTGTCTCCATTGTTTACATAGGATCTTTTTCTAATATAGCCTCAGCAAAAAATGAAACACAGTATCCTGGGTGTAGGCTTCTGTTACTGAACTAGCTGAGATCTTCTGATGTAACAAAACTAAACTAGCTATCTGCTGAAAAAGTTATATATCTAGGACAGCACAATTGGGATTGCTTAATGTACACAAGAGGAAGAAAATGTTTTCTATTTCTACCAGGAAAATGATTTTCTGGAAACTCCAGGTTAGACAAATGAATTTTTAATGGTTGAAAGGATCTGTAACCAATTCTGGTTAAAGTGTGTTCTTGTTAATGTATCTGGTACTTCTTGAGGATGGAAAAGGGAAGAATAAGGTCAGTCTTTATGTGGCTCCACAGTAGCCTATAAAATGCAGAAATGCAGGTTTGAGCTGCCTTATGGAAAAACAATATATTGTGCTATATTCTGCTGTGCATGTCCCTTTAGCCCTAGAAAGCAGAGGACCTCTTTAAGGCAGTATTTTCCATTCCAGCTCAGTTGTACAGTAAGAATTTACCAAAACTAACTTGTTTTTACTGTGTGTCGCATTCTGAAAAAAATCCCAACCCCTACTTAATTCAGTTCTTGAATGTTTTTGAGACAGACATTTAAGTGAGAGAGATGTTTTCTTGCAAGATGTGTGGGCTTGTGAAGAATACATGCCAAGAGTTAACAGACATGACTCTTGTAGCCTTAGCCAAAAATAGGCTTCAGAATACACTGACTATATACATTCATTTAGGAAACATTCTTCTTTATGCCCAACTAAGTGTAATTAACTTCTCTTGTCAGCTAATAACGTATAGAGAGGTATACTAGACCTTAGAAAATAAGAAGTACAAGAGGAAGTCTGTTTAATGTTGGGGGTAAGTACTTAATATGCTGATGATTTACCTTTAGTTGTTTATTATACAAAGTGTGGTGGCTTACATACAAATGGAACTAAAAATTGGTATTGAATTGTAGCATAGAGAGAAGACCAAGTTTGAAAGTATTTGGACTTGAAACGTCACTGGTTTCAGATGCAAAGTTTCAGTAAAGGAAATACCTTTCTTTTGTGCAGTCTGGTTGCGAACTTGAAATGTTTTAATATTTAAAGTCTTTTTATTAGCTGATAAAAATATATGGAACTTCCACAACTAATGAAACCTGAAGCATGCCCATGAATGGAAAAAGTGAAACTTGCTAAGTTTGATCATAACATGGTCTTTCCAGCTGCAGACCATATGAACTGAATACGTTGCTTGAAAGTTTTGATATATTCTCTTGATTTTATTTTTATGCATTTTAGCAGCAGTAGAAGCTAAAGGAGCCAAATGTGTTTTGGGAACTTTGCTGGTTTAGTATAAGGCATGATAGCTCATCAGTGCAGTGACACTAAACAGCCATAGATGTCCTTAATTAAAGCAAAGTAAGATGCTAGAGATGAACTTATGGAAGCCTAATGGCTTTTAAGTACTATGCCAGCTACTGTACAGCATACATGTATTTTGTGTTTTATGTGTTTCCCTTTCTTTCTGCATGTGTAGTTACACGAGAAGGAAAAGGTACAAGGCCAGACTCACAGCTTGCTGCTTATAATTTGAGAGATTTGGCAAAGCTGACAATGTTTGCTTAATAGTGCAGCAACCCTTGGAGAGTGCTTGGGCCCTGCTTTGACTTGAGATGTTTTGTGGCATTCAGTCAAAACCCACAGGTCACCACACTTGTCCTCCCACTTGAACAGCACCTCTAGAGTGGTTCTAGGAAAGGACTGAAGAATAACACACTATCTGCATGTAGCTAAAGGGAGAAATGGCACGATCTTGGTCATACAATGAGAGTAAAATTAACATTTACTCTCAGGAGGAAAGAGGGGTCTAAGCAACGGTGCAACATCATTTAAAATTGGAGCATTCATTCAAGTACTGGTTCAGATTCATGTTCTGCTCGGATGTGTGAATTTGAAGGAAGGTTTTTCTTTAAAATTTGGAATGAACTTTTAAGTATCAAAAGTTACTAAAATAGGACCTTTTTGTTTATATTTGGCAATGGAGGTGGGGGAGTATATTCTCAAGTGTTTGTTGACCAATACAATTCTTCATTGCATTTTGAGAAGATTTATGATTACTCTAGGTAGCTTCCCTGGGGTGGGGGTGGTTTTCTTTTTATAATGACTTGTGAAGAATGAGGCAATGCTGACACCTCCAAGATTCTACAGGAGAAAACTGAGGGACCTGGCTACTTGAACAGGTTCTTATCTAAAAATAGTGCTTCTCCAAAAGTGTAACGAATCACCCATTTAAACTCTTGATTAGTAAGAATTGCATTATTATCTTCCTTAGTGAAGGCTGGAATAAAAGTACATACAAAAGGTTTTATTTATTTGTATGGCTAGGAATAAAGGCAAGGTCTGATTACTTACTGCATCTCCCTCAAGCTGCTTAATGAAAGATGTCAGAAAAGGCAGCTGGCAAAGAAACACGTGAAAATTTGGGGAAAATATTAGAAACCTACATGAAAAAGCTGAAGTACAACAGAGCCACAGTGAAGCCAGTTACCATCATCTTACAGGGGAGCCTGCTGTGACACTGTTTGGTTTTTTGGTCTTTTTTTGTCTTACTTGTTTGTTCCTGTTAACAGAAATGAGAAACTGTACATTAACAGGAATAAAGAAGAAACTGTTCAAACGGCTATACTGTGTTTTATTAGATTAACAGTAGGATCCTAGAGTATGTAACCATGACCTCATTCTCCAGTAAGAAGGTGGGAACTGGAGTTACAGTTAAACATAGAAGCAAAATGTGACCAAAATAGAATTTGTGTGACAGTCACAAAATTTTGGTATTTTCATTTTTTACTGTGATAGAGATTGATATTTGATTTGGAGGGGGGAAAAGGTCTAGTTTATTAAAAAATAGATGCAATACATTCTCATCTTTTTCAGATTAATACACTACAAAACTGCAAAGCAATAGAGGCGACCCTGAATATAGAGGAAGAAGTATTTGAATGTTTTCCTTTCACTTCTTACTGCTTTCTTGATAAAATAATTTGTAGATAACCTATTTACAAATTTATAATACACTACAGTCTCTAGTCACACCAAATCTAACTACATGGAGAACAGGGAGAAAAGTCCATCTGACAAGTTCTCAGCAGCATTTTATTGAAAATATGAAACATTTCAATCTTGAACTCATAAATGCAGCAGACATTTTGTTGTCTTCTGTATTTTTTCTTGTCTGTTGAGAAGCTATGAGAAGTATTACGCTAAAGAGTGGGAATTCTATTAAGATGGAGGAGGAGATATTGCAATGTACAGTGTTCATTATTAAATTAAAAAAAGGCACTTGCTATGCTGCTTGCCTAAAGTTTATATATAAAAAAAACCAAACAACAAACCCAAAACATGTCCGCAGACAAGAGTGGTAATACCAAAAGAGGTTAAACATATCCACAGAATACATTCGTATGTAAAAAGTCAATAATAAAGTTATCACCTAATAACTTAAGCAGATACTCCTATAGCATAACTTTCAAATTTGAAAGTCAATGAAACACAAATTTGAAGTCCTTGGTAATTTTTTTTTTCCTTATTTAAACAACAACAAGCAAACAAAAAACCCCCCACCCCCCTAAATCAAACAACTAAAGATGCTTTTCAAGGTTCCATTCATCCAGGTACCACCACCAGTGCCACAACCTAGTAATCCACTCGAGGGCAGGAAACCTTCTGCTACCAGGTTTTGATTTTATTTCTTAACAATTGACTAGACAATAATGCAACCCCAAAGCAGAATAATCACCAGGTAAAACTGTTTGTCTTTCAAATAGACAATCCCTCACTGTGTTTCTGCATTGCAGAGTGGTTTGAGTGCATATTCAGCCATAGGCTGAGTGCCACATTCAAAAAGTGTTTGGAAAGAGAAAAAAAAATGTAAGGAACTAGTAAATGGTCAACCCTAATATTTGACTAGGAAGAAGGTAGTTGGTATATCAGAAGAGGGACATGCAGAATTCATTTGCAGAAACACCGAATGCTTCCACCAATATCAAAATGCTTTCATCTCTGCAGTTTAACAGAAGTCAAACTAGCTTTCGTCTCTTAAGTCCTGTCATGAATGTAATCAGCCTTCTATTTTTCATCATGGTGTCCTCTATATTCACAGCTTCACAATATTTTGAATCATATCTACCTCCAGTACCACTTAGAGTTCATCCTAGTGACAAGAAAATAAACAAGTTATTCTGAAAGTACAAATAAAATCAAGATATTTTTTTCTGTGATTTTTATATTTCCCTCTGTTTCTTAAATAGAAGTCAGGATACTTCTTAAAAGCTGCGTATTACTATTTTCCGAGTTAAAGTGTCACTCCCAATCTTACACTAATCAGCCTCTGTAGTTTGGTGCCTGCTTAAACATACAGTACAGCTCAACCATCTATCTCTAATGCAGCTATCCCATGGACATCTACAAATTCTGATAAGTCTTGCCATAACTGATGTTGGAACTGAAGTATTCTCTGCTACATCTGTGGATATGGAGTTTAAAATAGATAACAGTAACCAAAACAGGACTAGAGGTAAAAAGTACCTGGTACTATTTTAAGATAAGGAATGTAATACTTCCTGGACAAAGAGCAAATATGTAACTTTAAATGGCTATTCTTTATAATGTGTGTTTTGCAAAAGGCCCCACAATAAGTATTCTTACCTTATTTCTAGATTTTTTTCTTTTTCCTTTATTTTGAATTGCTTCTAATTTTTCATTCAGAAGGTCAGCGATACCTTTTGCATCTCTGCTGTCTATATATTCCCCAAGAACACTTTTCTTTAAAAAGAAAAGAAAAATAATTGTGAAACATTACCCCTGCTCTACACTGAATAGAAAATCTGCTTACGTTCAGATTAAATTCAAGAGGAACACAGGGAGGAAGACAATGGCTCTGGTAGGTTGATTTATGATTCATAGTTGTATTTTTGTATCTAAGTGATGTGAATTGTCTTTATAGTAAGAACTACTCCAAAACTATAGAAATTTTGTCTTGAGCCTTAAAGAAACCTGAAATACTCATAGTTTTCTCAAATTTATTCAGCTAAATATTTAATGTAGACAGCCATTACAAAGTCTGCTGCTTTGTTTGTGAAATCTGTCACTGTTAGTAGGAAATACCAATCTCGGAGTCACAGAATGGTTTGGGTTGGGAAGGACCTTAAGATCATCCAGTTCCAATCCCCCTGCCACGGGTAGGGATGTCTCACACTAGACGATGTCATCACTGAGAGTGAAGTGTTTTGATAAGGTTTTTAAGCTAGAACACAACTAAATATTTTAAATAATGCATTTTAAGATAGAAAAATTATTAGTCAAATATCTAAATACATAAATAATAAATGCACTTTAATATGTTATAGAAATAGTCTCTTAAGTCTTAAGGTGAAATGAAATATATCTACTAAAAGTCCTCACTCGCCAGCACACACAAAGGAGACACTTTACCTTTGTTCCTTGGTAGGGGTAAAACTTGACAGTAGGGTAGGCTCTGATATCAGCAGTTTGACAGGTCTGACCATATGCCTGACAGTCAACTTTTCCAGCTTTTACTTTTCCTTTTACAGCCTAAAAAGAAACATTTATTAGAATCAAACTTCAAGTTTCAATGGGTGACTGTAAGCAAATAACTTTTATAAGCCAGGAGTGCAGCTAAATATCTCAGAGTAGTTGCCTGCTTGCGTCTCAGGCTGTTAACCTTGTATTAGAAGTCACAACATGTTCAGTGGAACACTTCTAGTTGAATTTGAGGCAAAGCACATCACAGTTCCAAAGCCCACCCCATCATAAGCTGGAATCTGTCTCTAAAGAGGGTCTGTGTGTATGTCTCTGCAAGAGACACCACCTGCTGGCAAGTGGGAGCTAAAAGTGTAGACTTTGAATTAGAAGGAGGCTTATTAGGGATATACAATTTTTGGATGATCAGTAAGAAGTGCTGATGGATTGTATTTTGACCATTATAACAATCTGCTAATACAGTTAAAAACCTACCCTTGCAAGGATCTCAAATTCAGGAGCAAAATTTTGGCATGGTCCACACCAAGGAGCATAAAAATCAATGACCCAGTGATCTTTTCCATTTAGAACCTTTTCTGTGAAACTCTGAGGAGTCAGGTCTACAGACACTTGCGGTAAATATCTGCGGAAAGGAAGAATAAGAGTCATAAACCATTCAAAACTTTGAACATATCCAAGTTTCATTTAAGCACAAGAAAACTTTCTGAAATTAAGAACAGTAGTAGTCTGAAAATCCCCACTTTACACTTTGTACTGCTAGAGAGTCACTTTCTAAAAGTGGTAGGCAAGATAATAATATGGTCTTCAGGAAACGGGTGGACAGAAGGAATATGCTATTTCTGGAGTAAAAAGATGTGGAAATTTTAACGGTACACATACTTAAGTGTTTCTAATTCTTGATTCACATAGCATTTAAAAGCTCATTTCTTGTAGCAAGCAAATTACATAAGGTGCTTGTGAATAAAGTTTAATGCAGCAACTTACCCCAGTGCCCAGCCTCTCAGTGAATACGAGTCTCTGTGCCATCCATTGTAGCTACTGTAAAATGGTTTAAAAGAAAATGAAATTCCAGTTGCACAGTGGTTTGTATTACGTTGGGAAAACAAACAGCCAACAAAAAAACCCAAACATAACAACAAACTCAAACATCTCCGTAGGGTGAAGATGATTAAATAATGAACTTAAATGCATATGGTTTAGGATGTATTTTTACCTTGCTTTCAAATCTGAATAAATAAAAGTTAATACAATTCAAAGATGCAGAATTAAGGACTAGAAGATGAAGAGAAGAAAATTCTGTGTCAGGAGAGTAAAACTTGGTTTGGAGCATGTAAGCTTTGATAGCTAGAACTATTTTTAATTAAGGGTCTTTGTTAAGAGCTCCAGATAAAATTGCAGACTGTAAGAAACATGAGAATTAAATTGAAATATCTTAGTATGTTTAGTAATTTATTTTCATTCATTACAATAAAACAAGTATTTGACAGCAGCAAAGCCAGGCAAGCTGGTTACTTGGACAAATATTTACTATTTGCATTTTCAGGGCATTGCTTAGTTTTGAAATTCCAGTAACAGGTTAGAAAAAATAATAATTCAGGATTCATATCCACTAATTTACAACTTTATAACAAAGTATTTTGCAGCATAGTTACCTGGTCAAAATCTGACCTGATAGGTTTTGGTGATTTGAAAGCCAAATTTTTATCATAGAATACATATGCATTATCATAGAACACCGGGTTGGAAGGGTCCTCAAGGATCATCTCGTCCAACCTTTCTAGACAAAACATGACCAGCATGATGGCCCAGCAACCTGTCCAGCAGAATCCATTATAACTTGCAACACTATGGAATGACTTATCACTGTTTAATACTGTAACTAGAACTACGTGATGGTTTTCCCTTGATCACACAAACTTTCCCTTCTAAACAGTATTTCACATGTCACATCCACAAAAATATGTATTTTTGACATGTCCCTTTTTCTTGTACAGAGATAATTCAAGAATGTTAATTACATGTAAATAATTCTCAGTAAATTTAACTAAGTTACCAAACTAATTCCTGGAATTTGGCACTTAACAGTCACATTCACCAACTTAGTTGTTTTCAATGAGAAAAAGATTTCTGCTTTTAAAAGAAACTTTCTCTAGAACTGAATAAAAGCAAGCAGTTCCATGATGAAAGCTATTGAAGCCTGCTATTATGCACTACGATGAAGAGGCATTATAATTCATTATCTGCCAGAATTTAATTGAACTTTCCAATTTGTAAAACAATGAAGCAACACATCTGCTATTTCAGATGGTTATCTATCTTGAAATATGCACTTGCTTCCTGAAATCCCTGGATCTTCAAACAGTACAGTGAAATGGAGGGGACATGCTGTTTGGCCTTGCCAGATTTTATTTCCCACAGAATTTTTGTTTAGTCATGTTAGTGATTAATGTTTCCACACTAGTGATACAATGAATGGGATGACTAGATATACAGTGGACAATTTTTGCAATGGTGCTAACAGACTGTTAGCACAAAGGATGATCAGATGCCTGCATCCCTCTGTTCTCTAAAGATAACGCTGCAATCAATTAGGCCTAATATTTTAATATTATATAACATAAACCATCCATTTTAATAGGCAATTAAAGTTAGAAAAGTGGCAATTGCTAAAGAAATAAAAATTAAGATTCCTGAGGCAGTCTCAGTTCAAATTACTGAAATCAAATGGCAAAGTAAAATAACACTGATTTAAGTCAATAACATCTAGGACAGTACTGTCGTAACAGCCTATTTTAACAGCTGTGATGAACCTTTTCTACACAGCAGATGATGTATATCCATATTGTTTAATATAATTTAACATTTCCCAAACCAAAGTAACCTACTTACTAATATTGATGAGCTGTGTTTGATTTTTGAGGAAAGAGTCTTATTTCAGGATATCCTCGAACACTTTCTTGGTGACAGAAAGAATAATATTTTTGACAATCCACACTGCCTACACTGATTAATCCATTTAACATCTGAAAAAAGAAAACCTACAATCAAATATGCTAATCAATACTACTACAATTTCAGTAATACTTCTGAATTTAAGCCTTAATCACTTATTTGGGGAAAAAACCCCAACAAAATAAAGATTATCACATGATTTTCTTCTTTCCTATAAATGGGTCACTGGGATCTAATGAGAGCCAGCCATCCAGGTGCATTCCCAGCATGCACACACCTATTTTAGTACAAGCTGCATGCACATGGCTCATGAGATACTTACCTTGCTTTGAAGGTACATGAGTGTCATTATTCAGAATAAGGACTACCATATTACCATGTTTCACATGCAGGCTCAAGAATTACGACAGATCCTGGTGCAGTGCAGATGTGCTAACAGTTGCACAGCTGGCCTGTGTCTTAAAACATACTGTATTTGTTGCAAAGGCGCAAACCACCTGGCATAGGCAGTGAAGCTGATAATTACTAAACATGTACTATAGAGCTACAAATACTTCACAGCCATCTGACCAGAACACAGAATTCTAGCTAGAACTCCTAGCCTAGGTGAGTTCTGAATTTGTTTCCAAAGCACTATTCCTCCACCCCCCAGAGTTTCAAGTTCATATTCCTGGAAAAACCCATATGGTTGTCCATAAATTAATATTACTTTTGCAAATGAGGGAACACTGTAGTTATCTTGCAAACCAATTCTTACCTTCTTTATGGATAAACCTTTTTTTCCTATTTTGTTTTAAACAAATACAGAGCTGTTTATCTAAAGCACTAAGCATCAAGAAAAGTTAGTTACTGTGAAATTTCTTAGATCTCAAACACATTTGTATCAACAACAAAAACTGGAGTACAGTATATACAGTGTACTGAACCTTAAAACAAACAAACAAACAAAACCTTTGTATTTGAAACAATGTAAAACTGTCAGTTAGGAATTCCCTGTTTTGTCCACAATATTAGTCACTGGACTTTGACAAATCCCTATGACAGCAGTTGTACTGTATCAATAATTCCACAGAAAAGGACACAAAAGCAGGAAAATGTTTGAATGTCATTTACCCTGGCCATTTTTTTCCATTCTGGCATTAAAGCCTGACAAGGTCCACACCATGGAGCATAGAAGTCAACCATCCAGATTTCCTCTTGTTTTCTTCTCTGAACTAATTCAACAAACGTCTCTGGTGTCAGGGAGACCACCGATGGATTCCTAAGATCCTAAAGCAAAGACAGCTTGTAGACACATACTTTGCAACAGTAAGTTATGCCGTATCTAGCACCATCACATACAAACAGAATGTACCAAATTCTGAGAATGTCCCTCTTTTAGTGAGCTATGCTTGCTGGTATGGGTGGGAAGACTGGTATGGTTGGGAAGGCATGGAAGCATCAAAAGTCATCCCTTCAACCTAACAATCATACACCTGATTTGCTGAGAAAAGCTATCAAAAAAAAAAAAAAAAATACAGTCAGGCTGCAAAGGGAGGTTTTCTGCCTCTTTTCCATCAAGGGAGGAGAAAGGGAAGAAATTCAGCTTACCTGGCAGGAGCAGGCATTATGAGACTCAGCCATGCTACTTAGGCTGGGATGTAGAAGAATACATATAGTGCACTAGAGGCCTCTGAATACCATCTGAAAAAGATTTATCTCTGCCTGTTCCTGCATGGGTGCTCTTAAACCTGCTTTTTCTGGGCTACCTGGAGAGAATTAACAGTCTCTTCAAAGAGTGGAAAACAGCCTGTGTATCTAGCAGTGAGAGAACCTGAATGCTTGAGGAAAGAGGAGGGGTGCCAGCAACAACGATGAGCAGAAGTGATTTGCAGTTCTGTGAGTTAAGAAAGTTCAAGAAACAGCCAAGAAATGTGGAGGGCAACAAGCCAATTGACAAAAATGTGAACCTCCTCTTATTTCAAGGTGTGACTGTGAGGTGTTTTCACTTTCATATTACAGCATTTCATACTTTTAATTCATTTATCCTCTCTATGAGATAGAAATCATTAACATACTTTGCAGATTGGAAGGAATCTTAAGTTATTTGCTATGATCTCAAAGAAATTACTTGACAGAGAAGGAAAATTAGGTGTGAAGTCCCCACCTGACAGTTGCTGGATCCCTTTTCTTGCCCAAGGTTTTTTCACTCTTTATCTTACTAGTCTAATTAATAATAAAACCCCACTAAATCTTAGAATCTTCCAACTAAAGAACATGTTTGTGGATGTGCATGACTGCAACAAGGATTATAATTTACATACCTCTATAAACTCCAAGATCTGCTCAGCAGAGTGATGTCCTTCATATTCATGAACATCAGACTGATTGAACACAACTGTTGTTGGATAAGCTCGAATGTTATGCTAACAAAACAGACAATAAGAAATTGTAAGGAATGATTAGGTTTCCTGTACTTTACCTGCCACTGGTATTGGTGGTTCGCAGTTGCTGAGCTGTTGCAGTTTGTGCAGTGCAACTGCTCAGACTCATGTGCAGATGGGAGTTTGAAACCATTACAAATCAGTACAGAGAAGATGCCGTGTGTATTCAAAGATGGCATAGTTTGTTCTCAATTTAAAAAGCAGCCACTAGTTCTTTTGCCATTCTGCACAAATACAGGAATTAATCCATTGGTATTCTAAGCCTTAACTTTAAAGCTATTCCTAGTCTTCGTGTGGAAACGAAGAATATTGTATGAATAACTACTGTTTACCATCCAACATAGATACTTCCATGATTTGAATTCTTTAGAGTGTAAACACATATAAGACTTTAAAAAGCTTGTCCTTTTTTGCTTATTTTTATGTATTTCAAGACATTCACATTTTAAAGATAAATACAAACATTCTAAAAAAAAAGTTGCAGGAAAACTGTCAAAATGCAGTGTTTTCTGGAATTCAGGAAAAATGTTGATAATTTCTACCACAACAAATTCATTGAAGCAAAAGTTAAGCAAATTTAAACATGGCAAATTAGTAAGGATTTAAAAAAAACACTAATGATTTTTAAAAAACCACTAATGATTTCATTCCACTACTATATATCTTTAAAAAAGTGTAAACTGGTAAATAATAAACTTTAATTTGAAACTGATCCTGCCCTTCTTAATGCACTACAAAACAAAAAGCAAGGTCAGTTGGAGTGAACTGAATTAAAGTTGTTTTTTGCAGATATTGTCAAAAAGCATTATTTCAATAAAACCCCTGCATTTTTAGATGTTTTACTGTTCTTAATCCTATGTGAAGAACAAAAAGAATGCATGTATGTATTTACATACACACTAGAAAAGACTTTCTGGGCCTGGTTTAGGGTTTATTTTTCCCTCTTAAAAAACACAGGAATTATTAAATTTTGACACTTCCAGAGTCTTACAATAACACTTTGAAATCAGAGCAAAATTGACCTGTATTTTGCATTAATTTTTATCTGCAGTGGTTACATAGTTTGCTCCTTTGAAATTGAAAAAGGATACAAGTGTCCTGTTTTGCTTGCTACCCTTTACGAAAGTAACATTAAATAAACAAGCATTTTCTGCCCCTACCTGCAACTAGAAGAAAATAATATTCTTTGAAAGGATTACATTTTCTTATTTTCCGCAGCTTACCATGTTGCAAAGCCCTTCATGGACAGTACAGTCTAGTGTTCCAAATTTAAGCTGACCATAAAGATGTTTGGATGCTTTTCTCAGCTCTGGTAACAAAGCTCGACAAGGAGGACACCACTAGAAAACAGAACACAAGTAAGTGCAATTAATTTCCCTGCAGCTGACTCAAGAGAATGTTTGAGATGAATAATACACTGCTTTGACAACAGAATCCACTAAATAGAAACCCCACACAGTCTAGGAACTAGTGCTGCCAAGGAATGAGAAATTATGATACTGTTGCATGGTGCGGAAGGGCACTTTCAAGATACTGCTGATGTTGTGTTACATAGTTATACAACAGATCCTAGAAGAAAGAAAGAAGTTGATACTAAATATTTACCGGTGCAAAGAAATCCACAAGCCAAGGTTCCTTCTCTTTGTCAGGAAAGTTCTGAGGTCCCAGAGTGATAACATGAGAGTTGACGCTTTCCTTGGCAAATGCCACAATGTCATATAAGATCTTCTTTCCTTCAAAGAACAACGTAGAAAGGAAACTTTATTTTTCCCTATGATAGATCTTATTAAAAAACTCAGTGATAGCAACAGGAGCCCTTCAGTTCCCTTGGCTGACTTTAAATATGGCCTGCTTAAATAAATTAAAGAGGTAGTGACTTACTTTTTCTCAAGACAACAATGTTAAACTGTCCAAGCCTACATAGGTAAGGCATACTCTAGGCTAGTTACTCTAGATATTTGGCTAAAAACCCCATGTATTTCTCAAACAAAATGACTGTGGTTATTTGTGACTGGACTATTGGCTGTTTTACCATCTTCCTAGTGTCTGTTGGAATTAAAAAGTTACTATTCTAGAGACACTTGCCTTGGCAAAGATATTGACACGTTAAAGACTTGAAGCAAAATAAATGATACTGGCAAGTCACACTATTTATGTGTAAATGAAGGTCTGGGTGACACAGCTCCAGTGAGCAAAGATCATCCTTCATACTCTTCATATATGTATTATTTGTCAATTGAAATTGTCAATCTGTCAATTGGCAATTTGTCAGTTGTCGAGGCGAGTCTCTCCAGGGAGGATGCCTTCAACCCCAGAGCAGGGGAAGCTCAGTGTCCCGGAGCCTCAGCTTGGAGCAGCGAGAGCCACCGAGGGAGCCTCAAACCCTCCACAGGACTCGCTCAGGAGCCGGCAGCTCCGCTCATGTGAGCAGGGACTCACAGGGGGCAGGGCCAGGAGCGATGGCACCAGCCCTCAGAGGGTAAAAACCCACC